GGAGAGGGAGTGGGGGAGGGGCGGTAGGAGCTCACATAATAAATACCTTCTCTGCTTCCCATCAAGGTCTCTGCAGTCATTTATTCAGGCCAAGGTCGCTGAGTGTCTGCTGTTGCTGGGACCAGGGATTCATTACAGGAGAGAAGGCCTGGGTTGGGGGTGGACACGGACTAATGGATCCTGATCTCCCCCACAGCCCTAGTTCTATCTATCTTACCAAGATCAGACCTGGGAAAGAACTTAAAATCCTAAATGACCCCCATGGAAGCGACTTGGGTAAATGAGCAGCTGAAGAATGCAGGACCTGCCAGACCTGGATTCAAAGCCAGCCCCACCATCTATTTCCATCAGACCTTGAGGGGGTCCCTTAACTTTGGACTCTGTTTCTTGACCTCTGAAATGCAAGTGCTAGTTCTCACTCCACAAGTAGTTGGACCTGTCTTCAGTGCGACAGTGCACAGCAAGCACTCAATAAACTCACATTTCAATGGCTTATCATTGTTGTCGCCAGCGCCATTCCTACCGCGCTGAGGCCCAGAGATGGCCTGTGAAGGGAGCTTCGGCTGCAGCCCTGGCTCTGGGCTCTGTGTCACTGTAGTCTGCTGTGTGTTTTCTGTTAACTTTGTCTCTCTCTCAGCCTTTGTTTCTGTTACCCTCTTTGTCTGACTTTCCAACGCAGGCTTCCTCTTCCCCCACCCATTTCCTGTCTCCCCTTCCCTCGGCAGCTGAGGTGCACACACAATCAGCTTCCACCTCACAAACCCCAACAATGCTCTGCGGGCTCCCCTCCCCCAACCGGCTCACTTAGTGTAGCTCAGGCAGTGGCGGTAGTGACGCATTTATAGTTTCCTCTGGGAGGGGGTCAAGGATCTTGGGCCTCATAAAGGCCACCTAGCGTTTCTCCTAACACTGGTGCCCTGGCCCTCTGCCTATGATGGTGCCACCCTCAGTGTGGCCCCAGGTTAACAGGGGATTCTTGGCCTGTTTGTGCTTGAGACAGGGTTCCTGCCTCCTGCCTATAACAGAAAGTGTGCCAGTCTGCTGCCTGCAGCTGGGTGCCCGGGGAAGGGGTGTTTGTTCTGTCTTCCACTGGTTGCAGGAGATGGTGCCCAGCCCCACACCTTTAACAGGGTCTCTGGCCTTGCCTCTACCTGAATTAGAAGTGGTCCACTACTCTCCAACCATAGTGTTGTCCTGCCTGCTTCCTTAAGCAGCTGGCTGTCCAGCATCTGCCTGGAAGAGGAGTGTTCGTTAGCCTACCCTCTGACTATAATAAGCGATGGTCCTGTGCCCAGAGATGATACGGCTATTTTCCTGACTGCAGTAGCCACGTTAGCCTGACACCTGCCTATAGCATGGGGTTCTGCTCTCCGCCTGCTGAACGGGGTACTGGACTCTCCTCTGACTCGGAAGTGATGTTGCCTTTGCCTCAGAATGTAACGAAAAACTGTGTGAGAGCAGTGCTTCTTGCCTTTCACTGACAGCTGAGTGTGTGTGCGGCTGTCTGCCCCTGCTCTTTGGGGTTTAAAGGCTGCCCTTGAACCTCTTGTCCGGGTGCACCCTGGAGGTCAGGAGGGAGATAACATCAAATATCCTCCCTTCTCCCCCAAGTGTCACCCTCAAGGTGAGGAGAGCTAGGCCTGGAGATGTACAGGACCCTCAGGGACTGAGGCACGAGGGACTCTGGTGGCAGGAAGCTTGGGGTGCTGGAGGCTTGTGGTTGGGCTACTGGGGCCCTGTTGGCTGCGGAGCCCTCAGGAGGAGGCAGGAAGTCAGGGTGGGACGTGGGCGCGAGGAGTCAGGTGGTGGCTACCACGGCGAGGAGAGCTGAAACTGTCTGGGCAGCCAGGCTAGGCCAGGAGGACCATGTGAATGGGGCCGGAGGGCTCCTGGGCTGGGCAGGTAAGGAGACTGGGAACAGGGGTCAAGGGGCTGTGGTTGGGAACCTGATATCAGGGGGTGAAACTAGACATGGGGCCAGGCTGCCTGGGTATGCAGCAGCCCTGCAGGCTCGGGGAACAGAAGAAACTTGCTGAAGGTCAGGCAGGAGGCATGCAGTGCAGCCAGATCACCGCTTTCCTGTGTAGATGTTGGCTCTTGGTTCTGCCGCACTGCCCGCCGTGGCCTCCACCTCACTTGGAGATCTGGCACATGGACTATCAGGTATTAAAAAGAGCTCGCTTTGGCAGCGCATATACAAAAAAAGAGAGAGAGAGGAGAGAGGGAGAGAGAATCCCCAAGTCCAGTCGCTCATCCCACGATGGATGAGCCTCCTACACCCAGAGAGGGCCCAGCGCTCCCTCCCGGCAGGCCCTCAGCAAGGCGGTGGCAGAGCCAGGTCTTGGGACAGAGTGACAGTCTAGGGCAGGCTGTGACCTCCCATGAGGCAGGGTAGCGGACAGGCTTGAGTCAAGGGACCCAGAATCCTTCTGGTTGCTGGCGCAGAACCCAGCGACAAGAATCTCCTGGGAGAGACCGGAGTCACCCAGAGCATCCGAATGGGCGTGAGTGAAGAGTCTTAGGCGCAGTGACCAGCATTGCTTGAGAGAGGGAGGAGTCTCCGGTTGGGAGTGGATGGATATGTGAGGGCATATTTATCATCTAGGATGGCGCCTTCCTCTGACTGGACGCTGGGAAGTTGGAGCGGAGAGTATAGGGGGAGAAGGGGAGAGGAAGGGCTATTTTAATCCCGGACAGGGGTGCAGTTGGCCCTGAGAGAGGAACATCTGAACTTCCATCTGGAAAGTTGCCATTCCTGCCCCTGCCAAGTGTCACAGGATGTCCTCCCCTCCCCCCTGGCCTGCTAGTTCCCACTGCCCCCCGTCCCCCCGCCACCCAGTGACTGCAGGTGTAGGGCCAATTGGTCCTGTGGGTTCCTGCTTCAAACCCCAGCAAGGTGGAGGCCCAGGAAAGCATAGTCAGCTAACTGCCCACCCCCTCACCCACCTCCTCACTCTCAGCCTACAGTCTGTGGGGGGAGTCCCCACCTGCACCAGGCCGTCCAGGTTTCCTCTGCCATTGGAGTTTTTCTTGACACACAATTTCCATCTAATCCTTCAGTCCGCAGGCCGACGCTCTATCCACTGAGCCAAACCGGTTTCGGCATTGGAGTTTTTCTTGACACACAATTTCCATCTAATCAGCATGTCCCGACCTTTCTCCTGTCCCTAGCTCCAAGGCCTGCAGACTTTGGTGGGGGCTGGGGAGCACGCGGACTCTCTCTGAATCCAGGGGGCTCACCCACACCCTGGACAGGCATAAACAGTCCCCCTTCCCACCAACCCAGCCTGTAGTGACTGATGACCCAGCGCTCGAGGCAGAGGTTCTTCTCAAAGGGAAAAAGTGCCAAGTGATGGGGCCAAGGACAGGCGAAGGATTCAGAGGGTGGGAGAAGACATCCCTTGGTGATCTGGGAGGCTTCCTGGAAGAGTCAAGGCAGTTCTGAGAAGGATAATGGCCCACTTCGGAGAGTACCTAAAACATGAAGCCATGGTCTCTGTCCCTGGGTTCTGTTCCTTGTATACCATGATGGCAGAGATCTCAGAGCAAAACCAAATGCGAGACAACGGATGTAAAAAGCACGCATTTCAGAGGCAGGCAGACCCAGGCACAATTCCGGTTCTGCCATTTTCTTGAACAAGTGGCTTCACCTCTCCGGACTCCAGTTTACTTATCTCTAAAGAGGCAATAATGAGTCTCTCCCTTACAGCGTGCTTGTGGGTACTCAAAGAGAAAATAATGACTGTGATGTGCCAGGGTACTACCCGACACATAGTAGGTGCTTAACAGAGGTTGGCACTCCATCTTCCTGCAAGTGTGCACCAAAGGGAGGGATGCCCACACCCAGAATTACTTCTACTCAGCGCCTTGGCAAACCAGTGAACCACCCATTCTCTCACACTTGTGGTGTGGCTTTGCAAATGAGCTTGTTTCCTGTGTATAGTGGGTGTGAGAATTATAGACTAAACTACAGGTCTACCTTAGAAGAGAATCCCCCATACAGCTACACAAACACCCTACATATCATCATTGGAAAATGTATATATTCACGTATGTTCAGAGGCAGAGGCAGGGACTACACATACAACACACACTGGACCCTACAAATCCATATACACACCCACAAGCTGATGGCTTTAAGGCCAAGCTTAATTCAGTGAAAGCAATGCTGAGAGGAGCTGGTGTGTGGGTGGCATGGGGACAGGCGAGACCACGATACTATCCAGGGATGTGGCCTCCTCTAAAACCAACGTTAGTGTTGGTTTAAAAGTATCTGCAGATGCATTTCCAATGCTTGTTCTAAAGAACACTAGTTCCCTGAGGCGCCTGGAAAGAAAAGGGTTTTGGAACCAAATCAACATGGTCTCAGCTACAAACTGTCCTGATTAGCTTCGCGGTGGACGTGAGCTTGTTAAAGCTCTGGAAGTCCCTCCAGAGAAGGAGCTGGGTTGATTTTGTCTAACCCAGTGTTTTCCAAACGTCAGAACCTTTTTTGCCCCCAGCATCACCTCCTCCATGTCTACCCCGTTTAAGACAAGGAGAGGAATGGAAGGACGGACTGTAGAACTGATCTTCCTCAAATGATCGTGTTTCTTAGCAGAGTGTTTGCATTGATGGTGGTTTTATTGTTTGTGTGTTTTTTTTCAAGTACAAAAGTAGCACAGGATTTGAATTTTAAAAATTCAAACAGTATAGAGGCATGTAAAGAAATGCAAGAAATGCAGCTCCCTCCAATCTCACTCCTGGGGCATGCTCACTGTGGACAATTTGGTGTGCATTCTTCCAGAATTTCCTATGTATGGCTACTAAAAAGCCTGGTGGTTAAGAGCCTAGTCTCTGGAGGCAAGTAAACCCAGGCTCAAATCGTCACTCCACCAGTAATTTGTTTGTTATGAGACCTCAGACAAATTGCTTTACCCTGTTTGGGCCTCAGTTTTTGCATCTGTAAAATGGGGATAATAATAGCACTTACTTCATAGGATTATTATGAGAATTACATGAAATCATGCAAATAAAGGCTTAGCAAAGAGCCCTGCTCAAAAGAACCCCCTATATATATATACACATATTTAAATGCAAATACGCTTATACTCTACATTCTATTCTGTAACTTCTGACCATGCTATATCTGGGATGTCTTTCCATGTCAATACGTGGCGATCTACCCCACCTTTTCAAGTTTTAGCTAACCGTCACTAACTTGGTAAGTGGATAATGGTGGTGATTTTGAGATGCTATTTCCTGGCAAGTATCGGTGTTCTGTGTTGTCAATGTTGTTGTGAGTCACAGACATTACCCATCGGTGAGGTGAAGACAGGCATTTTGGCTTCCTGTGAAAATGGAGTAGCCTGCCAGAGGGGCACCCGGCTGAGTCAGAGGGCAGGGCCAGGTGTCTGGGAACCTCTCTGTTTGTGCACCTCTGTATCCCCAGCACTAGACCAGAACTTGGCACATAAAAATTGCCCACTAAATTTTTGTCAATAGGCTGGCCCATTAAGAAAATTGTGCCACCCTAGTTGGTTTGGCTCAGTGGATAGAGAGTCAGCCTGCAGACTTAAGAGTCCCAGGTTCGATTCTGGTCAAAGGCATATGCCCTGCTTGTGGGCTTGGTCCCTGGTAGGGGGCCTGCAGGAGGCAGCTGGTCAATGATTCTCTCTCATCATTGATGTTTCTATCTCTCTCTCTCCCTCTCCCTTCCTCTTTGAAATCAATAAAAAATATACTTAAAA